GAGAGAGAGAGAGAGAGAGAGAGAGAGAGAGAGAGAGAGAGAGAGAGAGAGAGAGAGAGAGAGAGAGAGAGAGAGACGCTTGGTGAGAATGATGGAAACTAGTAAGTCAATATAGGGAGAAGAAGCCAAATAAGGCGAGAAAGAAGTTAGTGAAAAATAAAGGAGCTTAGTCAGCCACATAGGAGTCCGTCTCACCCCGCTTGAAAAAGATTGTGCTTTTTTTTTTTTTTTTTTTTGGTAAAAAAATAGATCGTTGTACGACGAAGCTCAGCTACAGTAGACTCCGTTGTGTTTCCTTAATTGACGCTTGCCTTACGAGAGCAATGACGAAACTTGGCTGTGGCAGTGTGAAAGAAGATCGGAATCGTTTTCGCTTTGTGTCTAATACTATCATCGATATCATGAATCGGCACCTTGGTTGCCTGTCCCGACTCGCCCTGGCTGCTGCTGCGACCACTGCTGTGGCGTTGCTTTCGGTCCTCCTCATCAGCGGCGGACGACCGGTCGACAGCGGCTCGTTTTTCTCACTCTCTCTCGCGCAATTCCCCGGTCCTTCGGAAGCAGGACGGAGGTGTCGCCACCTGCTTCGAGGGGGTCTGAGGGTACTTGACCTACCCAGCCCTTGTGTTGATTTGACCATTCTCAGCGGGTCTCCTTTCCTTGCCCCCTGCAATGCCATTATCAGCTATGAGATGAAAGCCCCGTTCGTCAAAGGATCCGACGAGACGGGTATGGAGTGCAAGGCAATGGTGCGCAACATCTTGTTCGATCTAACAGCCTCTAAGCTCTTCTACATCCTGGACCAGATCTGCTCGACGGAGGGACAGATGACGAAGCCAATTAGACGCCTTTTGTCGTTTTACGCATCTGTCTTGGGCACGCAAGTTGTGGACGAGGGTAGGCTGATAAGCACCTGGTGGGCGGGGTCGGACGGGACAGGACCGCAGGTTCTGAGCGCCACGTGCCAAGACCATAAGTGCACTTTGTACATGGATCTCGCCAGTGGGATGGCTCTCTCGAAGTCCGGATCTCAGCTGATCGTGTCGGGATACCATTCTGCAACTCCGCCGGGATCTTGGCTTACCACCGTCAATACCGAGACCGGGGAGAGGAGTTATGTCCCGGTGCAGCTTGATTTCGCCACCGGGATCGCTCTCGACCCCGACATGACCACTCTGTTCGTCGCCACTGGGTTGGTCCCTCCTCCTCGGATCTTGTCGTCTCCCGTTACCTTCGATAAGAATGGCGATCTTCCCTCCCAGGGACTCTCCACTCCCTCCCCTCTCTTCATGTTCGATCAGTTCCAGGAGTGGGAAACGTCATCCATTTACTTTGGACCTCACAGTTTTTCCAGCGATGGCAGGTGCTTGTGCTTCGTCGATCGCAAGCCCGGCGGTAGCGTCTGGGCACTCAATCGCTCCTCGAATGCGGTCAATCTTGTCGCGGGTAGCGGATTAACCCCCCAGGACTTTCCGCTAATAGCATCTCCGAGTAACATTAGCAGTGGAAACAGCAGTAGCAGTATTAGCAAGATAGTGATGTCCGATGCTTTGAACGTGTCTTTCGGACAGTTGTACGACCTTGCGGTGACGGAGAATGGTCTAAACATCTTCGTCTCGGAGATCGACACAGGTCTTGTGCGGTGGATTGAGCTCGGCACTCCCTGTGGATTCGGGCGGAGAGCCACCAATGTCATCCGCTACCTTCCCCGTCCCGGCTCGGCCGTGTACGGACTGGCCATAGGAACGTACGGCAAAGAGCTCGTCTTGCTCCTTGGTACGGACGACGGACACGTGTTCCAGCTCAGCATCAACAGGTCAGCACTGGATCCCAGCAATAACCCTTACGCTTACGAACTCCCAGGCAGCTCTTCAGCACCAGATCCCGACAGATCTCATGCCTACCCCTCCCTCTCTTCTCCCCTCGCCAGGCCTGGCTTTTCGGACAAGGATGAAGGGCCGAGAATTGGTCTCGTTGTCAGTCTAGTTGTCGGTATCTCCCTCCTTTCTTTGCTTCTGTTTTTCGGGATCGGGGCGACAGTCTGTCAAGGCCGGCTTCGTCTTCAGAAGTGCTGCCATAATGGAGACTCGCCAGTAGCTTATTACGCAATCCACGGGGTCCGAGAGTTCGATTGGAAGACCTTAAGGGCAGCGACAAGCAACTTCGACCCTTCTCGACGGATTGGAATGGGCGGTGGCGGCATCGTCTACTGGGGATTACTGGTGGACAGGGATCCACCAAGTCAAAGCCAGATCGTTGTGAAGGTCATGGACGACTCGCAGACAAAGGACAAGGAAGAGCAATTCCTAGCAGAGGTGCAAATGCTCAGCCGGGTACATCATGTCCATGTGTGTGGCTTGATTGGCATCTGCCGACATGGTAGTATGTGGTTCTTGGTTTATCCTTACTTGGAGGGTGGGAGTTGCACGACCGGCTGCATCAACGGGTCGAAGATCGAATAAGAGAAGCACCAGGAGGGGGAGGCAMAAGACAAGTACCGGAAGAAGGAGGAGGAGGAGCCGTGGCAGCGCCAGACGAAGAGTTAGGAGGGTCCGAAAGTGCGAAAGCAGGAGGGGAAGCGGGAAGAGGGCCTGGAGCAGAGGGAGGAGGGGTCACACAAGAAGGAGAGAAACAAAGTGAAAGAGAATCATTCCACGCAGACGAGGAAGACATACCAACCGACGGAGAAGAAGCAGCAAGGGGAGGAGGCGAAGCGGGGGGTGGAGATTTTGGAGAAGAGTGAGATATCCCAGCGAAAGTCGAAGCAGTAGCAAGGCGACACCTGTCGGATTTCTCGTGCCTATGCGGCAATCAGAAACGGCAGAAGCAGAAGCAGCAGCAGAAGCAGAAGAAGAAGGCCAGCACAAACCTCTCGCTCCTCCTCTTACCCTGATAGAGCGTGTTGTGGTTTTTGAACAGATTGCGAAGGCGCTTCGTTACCTTCATTTCGGTGYTAACCCACCACTTATCCATCGTGATGTAAAGAGCCGAAACGTGTTGTTGGGAGAGGGAGGTGGTACGGAGCTGAAGGCATTCTTAGCTGATTTCGGTCTCGCTAAAGTTATGGAGGACAGGCATCGATCAAGAAGCCACGCTGCAGTCCCGCAAGCAACCCATCCCGGGACGCGGGGCTACGTTGCTCCCGARTACGCCAAAGGAGGGAAGCTGACGAGGGAGATAGACGTGTACTCTTTTGGAGTTGTCCTCTTGGAACTGCTTACTGGCAGAAGCGTGTTAATTCGTGGTGAGGGGAACAAGAACGTAACCCTAGTTGAGCAGATGCGCAACCACCTAGCTGACGTAGATGCCGTCGATCTGAAGGACGTTGTGGATCCTTCCATTAGAGGGGAAATGGATGATGTTGTAATGAGGGAAATCACAAGAGAGATGTTCGCTGTGGTTGCTGATTGTGTTAATCTTGATGACAAGTTGCGGTCGAGCAGCAAGGAGGTAGCTTCCAAGATGGAGGAGATTTTTAAGACGGCCGAAGTAACTCTCAAGGAACCGCGGTTATACACCRGTCAGCCATCGACTGCTTAGGAGTTCACAATGTTTGGTTGTGTTGCCATGGATTGGATGAGGAAAGGTAACGGTGCCAAACGGATAACCACTGGTTGGCCATTAGATCATCCGATCGTTCACATTGATCGGCCGTTGGATAATCAGCTTAAAGTGGTTGCTAGTAGTGCCGCGTATAACCCGCCCCCACTGTGCAGAGGTAACGGTGTGTAACGGCTATGCCTCGGTTGTCCGTTAGGTCATCCGTTTACAGTGAAGGGTATTACTGTTAGGAGCACCCACCCATCTGTGTGAAGGTAACGGTCAGTGAGGGATTTCTTGCCTAGAAAACAATCGTGCAATAGCTTCGCCGCTGATTGTAGTAACGCAATGGCTATAGCACTGGCTGGTGTGGCGGGTATCCTTTATCTAGTGCCATCTCATTAGATAATTGTACCATATTTCCACGGTCAGATCATGACGAATACAGTGGAGAAGGGAAAACAGTTTCTTTTATGCGTGTGCGCGCGTGTGTGTGTGTGTGTGTGTGTGTGTGTGA